CCATCACAAATGTCCTTAGTGACCGAGGGAGATTTGACAGATGAGGAAGAGAAGACAATGTGAAGATAGAGTAGATTGTATGATTCTTCTTGTATAAATACCTAGAATAGTCAGATTCATAGAGACAGAAAGATGAATGGTGGTTTCCAGGGGAAGGTGAGAAGTCAGTGTTTAATTGATAATGTTTCTGTTTGGGATGATGAAAAAGTCGTGGGGTATGGGTAGTAGTGATGGTAGCACAACATTGTGAATATATTAATGCCACTGAATTGTGCACTTGCAAAGGGTTAAGATGGGCAATCTTATGCTATGTGTATTTTACACACACACACACACAGACAGACAGACACACACACAGATGGAGACATAGATTGAAAAGATGTGACCACAAGCCAAGGAACGCTGGCAGCTACCAGAAGCTGGAAGAAGCAAGGAAGGATCTTCCCCTAAAACCTGAACAATACAGCCCTGTTGACACCTCGGTTTCACTCAGTGTAATCAGTTTTGGACTTCTGACTTCCAGAACCCCGAGAGGATACATTTCTATTGTTTTGAGCTGCCACATTTGTGGTAAATTTTTAACAGCAGCAACAGGAAGAGAATACACTGATCAAACAGTCTGCTTCCCACGCCTGAGCTTGCAACAAGGAAAAGGAAAAAGAGAAAATCATAGCAGCCCTCTCAGTCCTTCATCTTTGCCTTTTTGTTGTCAATGAGGCATCTTTGCACCTTCATCTCATTTGGACCTCATAGGTACAGAAAATAGTCTTTGTCTGTGACATTTTACAGATGTTCAAATGGAGGATCATAGGTGTCAAATGAGCTATCCATGGTCTGTTGCTGGTTGATGGCTGAGCTAAGATTCAAACCAGCCATGTGGTTTCCCCTCTTCAGATAACTTCCCAAACTCATAGACTCTGTACATAGGCTGTTCATTTCAGAGTGTGGCAAGAGTTCAGAGGCTGGCCATCACACCATGGGATTTCTTGCCATGGAGTACAATTTGGTCAGTGAAAGGTGGACATTGAACATTTGAGGCCTGTTGGGGAAGAGCTCCTGGGCTGATAAAAGTAGGTAGGGACTCCTGTGGGACCTGGACAGATGAGTAGTGTGGAAGGGAGGCCAAGAAGAGGAAAGAGAATTTCCATTCAGTGATGAGTCACTATGCTCCAAATCTGGGTTCCTCCCTTGCCATCTGTAGATGTTACCTTAGTGACCTCAGAGTCATTTGAATAATCTTCTTTCAACAGTCAGGTTTAATTTTTAATCTGTGGGCACCTGGTTTTTCAAGCTTAGGATTCCAATCTGACTTAAGTTTGTGAACCTGTGTGGACTCAGATGAGGTCTTGCTCTTAAGTCTATCTTTCCTCATCACCCTCATCTTCCCCACAGCCTGGCTGTTTGGCCAGCTTTTTTCTTTCTCTTGGGATTCTGGTAGTAATGTCCCTTTTTGTGACCAGATCCTGATTTGGGTTGGTACCAGTGAGGGGAGAAGAGAGGCCAAAATGATCTTTACTAATTAGCAGTGGCCCAGCAGCTCTGGCCAGCTATAGGGGGCATGTAGTACATCATATTGTGTTCCCCCGGAAGCATCTGCAAAAGAGAAATAATTCTTTTCTTTAAAAATGAGGCTGTACAGCATGGTTTTTAAAAAGGTGTACAATGTGATGTTTTAATATATGCACAATACATGCATCCAGTAGCTCACATAGGTACCATTTTGTGTGCTTGTGTATGTGCATGTGTGTTCATGGTGAGAACACTTAAAATCTCCTTTAGCAACTTTCAAGTATACAATACAGTATCGTTTACTATAGTCATCATACTGTACATTAGATCCCAGAACTTATTCATCTTATAACTGTAAGTTTGTAACCTTTGCCCAACTTCTTCCCATTTCTCCCACCCTGTAGCCCCTGGTAACCATCATTCTACTGGTTCTATGAGTTTGACTTTTTTTAGATTGCACATACTTGTCTAGATCATTTTATTTAGCATAATGTCCTCCAGGTTTATCCGTAGTGATGTAAAGGACGTGATTTTCTTTTTTTAAAAATATTTCATTTATTTATTTGACAGATGGAGATCACAAGTAGGCAGAGAAGCAGGCAGAGAGAGAAAGAAGGAAGCAGGCTCCCCGCTGAGCAGAGAGCCCGATGCGGGGCTTGATCCCAGGACCCTGGAATCATGACCTGAGCCGAAGGCAGAGGTTTAACCCACTGAGCCACCCAGGCACCCCGATTTCCTTATTTTTTATAACTGAATAATATTCCACCACACACACACATACACGTATGTGATACATACACATACCACATTTCCTTTATCCATTCATCTGTTGATGGACACTTGAAGTTGTTTCCAATTTGGCTATTGTGAATAATACTTCAATGAACATGGGAGTGCTGATATCTCTTTGAGATACTGATTTCATTTCCTTTGGATATATACCCAGAAGTGGGATTCCTGGATCACATGGTAATTCTATTTTTAATTTTTTTGCAGAATCTCTGTGTTGTTTCCTTTCTTTTTTCTGCTCTTTTCTTGAGTTAAATTGTCCTTTTGGAGGAGATCAGTGAGGAACAGAAACTGCAGAGGGACCTCAGGCATTCTGGAGATCTCTTGCCCCTGTCCTCCCCACCCACCAAAGGGGGAGGTTACTTGCTGGTTACATGCTTATTTATTTATCTATTTATTTGGAGGGAGAGGGAGGGACAGAGGGAGTGGGAGACAGGGAATCTTATACAAGCTCCACGGCCAGTGTGGAGCCTGACATGGGGCTCAATCACATAGCCCAGAGATCATAACCTGAGCCAAAATCAAGATATGGGTGCTTAACCAACTGAGCCACTCAGGTGCCCCTATTTAGTTTTTATTTTTACCCCCAGCTTGTCCTCTCCCGGTATATCCCTCCTTCCCACCTTACCTGGCTCACTCCTCTTTCATGACCAGAAACTTCCAGGCCTTCTCCCAACTCCACCTCATTCCCAGGTCAAAATCCTTGCTACACATTTGGAACATTAGTATGTCTCTTTCAAAGCACATATCACAATACTAAGTTTATAGGTATTTGTCTCATTTTTTATGATGATCTATCTCCCCCACTAGACTAGAGGACTTGTGAGGGTGAAGACCCTATGAATTTTGTGCACAGTTGTATCCCCAGCATTGGCACATATGGCCTGGTAACATAGAGGGTATTTTTCTGTTGCAAGGATGAATGAATAAAGGAATGAAGTGAATTATGTTTTCTGGTCTCTTCCAAGGTGACCTTTCTTTCCTTCTTTGGCCATGTTCTCTTGTCTGAAAAAGATTAGGTGATAGCTCTCTCTATCCTTTGAAGTCTTTTAGTACTTCAGGTCCTTCCTCCTGCTCACTTTTCAGATTTGCTCATTGCCAAACTTCATTTTTGGAAATTAGCACAGGCTGGCTGCCTGCAGCTGGGCGTTCAGGGCTGGACTTTTGCTGTGGATGAGCTCACTTCCAGACCAGACTAGATGTTCCCTGAGGGTAAGGGCTTTGCTTGGTCAAAGCCAGGTGAAAATGCTCTGCCAAATTTGGGAAGAGATGCACGTGGATGAAAGGCAAGTTGCTCTAAGCTGTGGCTGATGGCTAAGCTCAGAGTTTTGGAAGGCATCCATGTTGAAGAGTCTCTGTGTCCAGGTTCTCCAGAAGAGGAATTCCTTATCCTATGGCCAAGCATTATCATGGGCCCTGGGCAATGGGTGGGGGGAAATGGGGAAGACCTACATGGATGCTGCATAAATAATGATTCTCTGACTGCAACCTCAATAGGAAGAACAAGTGCTGATGGGGGAGAAGGGGAGTGGACCTCAGATTCAGTGAGGTACAAAGGAATGAATTGCTGGTGTTTGGGCATTGGATGGTTGTCTAGTGGTGGGAAGGGAGGGCTTGAGGCAGAACAGAGTCCTGGCAGGGCTTATGTGGTCACATATCACACCAGCATGGTTCCCCTCTCCAAAGTGACTGCTCTATGACCTCCAGCACCAGCTCCTGAGAGCATCTCCAACCCTTTTCTGAACTAGGCCTGCCATGGCCTAGACTGAAAGACCAGCGCTGTCACTGGCTTACTGTGTGATCTTGGGTGAGTCATGCCTCCTCTCTCAGCCATCTCTGTGTTGAGCCCTGACTTTCAGCTTAGACATGTGTCTCCAGATGGGCAGGTTGAGTTCCCCAAAAGGGTCAGCGTTTGATGAGCTCCATGGAAAGGATTCTCTAGTGTCTTCCCTCCAACCTGGATCATAAGGGCCCCAAATCACATTGCTGGTTGAGGCACAGGGCAAGGAAATAGCTCCCAGCGGGATCCCCTTTCTTCATCCTTACCAGGGGTGGGGGCGGGGTGGATAACATTGTCTCTGGGGGCTGCAGGGGAGTCAGAAAGGTGGGTAGGGACGTGGCTGTCCCTGTGGTCAAGAGACTGCAATTGTTCTGAATTTCTTTCCAGCAATATTTGACAACTGATCTTCCCCAGAATTTTCTCCATAGAGACCAATAACTTGGCTGATTCCTAGGAACAGTCCTGCACCCATTTTACACATGGAGAAGCCTGTCCACAGAGGGCTTGGTACTGATCCAGTGGCAGGTGACCTGAAGCCTTTAAGCCCCTGGCCTCAGGCAGCCTGGTTCTTCAATGAAGCCGCACCCTCTCTGCAGCTGCCGGGCCAGGTGCCCGCTGCCGCTGCCGGAGCACAGCGGGCCTTTGTGCTAGGCGGGCACCGCCCCCTGGCCGGCCCCTCCCCACTTACCGAACAGCCCTTACCTGCCCGCCTGCCACCTTTCTGCCAACAGCTCCGTCTGCTCCTCCTTCAGCGTGGTTTGCGTCCAAGGCTGCTTCCCGACGGCGCGGTGCAGGAGATCCGGGGCAGGGACGTGACTTCGAGGGTGCCTTCTCCCCGCCTAGCAGGGGCTGATCATTAACCCGGAGGCAGTATAAAGAGCAAGGGGCCTGGGCTGGAGCAACGCATCGCCACCGCCGCCGCCGCCGCCATGGACAGTACCACCTGGAGCTCCATGACCAACGCCACTGCCGCACCCCTCGCGCCCCACGAGCGCATCCGCAATGCGGCCGACATCTCTGTCATCGTCATCTACTTTGTGGTGGTGATGGCTGTCGGGCTGTGGGTATGTGAGGGCCCTGAGACATGGGCTAAGGGGACAAGGGCCACCAGGAGGGACAAGGGCCATCAGGAGGGACAAGGGGGGCTCACAGAGGAGCGATGGCACCGGTGAGCTGTGAGGAGGGGACGATGGGCTTAAGGGTCTGTGGAGCGGGTTGAAAATAACTTGGAAGCGTTTGAGAGGGGTTCAAGGGGGCACAGTGTGAGGTGAGGTGTCAAGCAAGGATGAGCAGAAAGAAGAGGGTTGCCCATGGGAGCTGGCGAGGAAGATCCAAGGAGGATACCCCTGGCCTGTGAGCAGAGAAGGAGGTGGAGAGAATTGGAGAGGCTGGGGGCCAGTGTGAGGGACAGCTTGGGGCTGCAGGGAAGATATTTTGGCTTGGGAGATAAACCCTAAGGAGTCTAGGACTATTCTGCCTCTTCTTAGTCATACAGTTTTGACTGGAAAAGAAACAATTCAGAGCAGGAAGGACACAAACCTCTGCCAACTGCAGGGGCTGCGGGGCAGCCTGTAATGGGGGCTGCTGTAGGGGTCCTCCTGGGAAAGGCTGACCTGCCAGTGCAGGGGCTGGAATGAGTGAGAATTGGAAAAGTTGGGTGGAAGAGGAATAGGAGGAAGACCGGAGGGTGGCCTGGTGCTGGGGAGAGGGAAGTGTCTGTGGCTCCCCTTGGGGACTGGGGACACACCAAACCAGAGAAACTTGTTCTTAGCAGCCTTGGAAATTGGAACTTAGAAATTTCACCATGACAGACTCTGGCACACCCAGCAACTAGATGATGAGATGTTTTAAATGTGCACATATTCCAGGGGCACTTGGGTGGCTCAGGCAGTTGAGCCACCATTTCTTGGTTTTGGCTAAGGTCATGTTTCATGGGTCATGGGATTGAGCCCCTCTTTGGACTCCAGGCTCCGGGCTCTACAATCCAGGAGTCTGCCTGAGAATTCACTCCATCTGCCCCTTCTCCCACTCCTGCATGCACTTGAGCTCTCTCTCATAAATAAATTTTTTTAAAAGATTTTATTTATTTGTCAGAGAGAGAGAGAGAGAGAAAGAGAGAGAGAAAACTAATGGGGGGGGGGAGGGGCAGTCAGAGGGAGAAGCAGGCTCCCCACTGAGGAGGCAGCCAGGTGTGGGACTTGATCCCAGGATCCCAGGATCATGACCTGAGCGAAGGACAGACTCTTTACCGACGGAGCCACCCAGGCATCCTTGAATAAGTAAATCATAAAAAAAATATAAATGAGCACATATTCCAGACACTCTCAATGGCTTTGGTTGGGGTGTTGGGCCAGGATGCTGAGAGGGCAGCAGGTGGTTGAACTCTTGATTTAGAGGGGAGGAGTGTGGACATTAGCCCTTCCATGGCCACAGAGTTTTGTTTCGTTTTTTTTTAGGGATAAAAGGAAGTTTTTTTTTTTTTTTTTTGGTTTGTTTGTTTTTTAAGTAATTATAGAAACCAGATGTGAGTAAAAACCTCTCCTAGTGTTCCAAGGGGTCAGTGTGACTGACTGTTCCCCAATAGTCTCACCTTCCCAGAAGTGTCCAACTAGGAGCCAGGATTCTCAAGTTATTTTTTTTTAATTTTATTTTTTCAGTGTTTCAAGATTCATTGTTTATGCACCACACGCAGTGCTCCATACAATACATACCCTCTTTAATACCCACCACCACGGTCACCTATCTCAAGTTTACTACTGGCTTTGACATGGTTCTATCTCTATGACCCTGGGAAACCCACCTCAACCTCAGTTTACTCAGGTGTAAATAGGTACAATTTTACCTATTCTTATGATTCCCCAAGGTTGTTTTAAAGATCTGCAGAGATGAACCTGAAAATTCTCTATGGAGAAGTCTTTTAAATACTATTAATCAGGGCACCTGAGTAGCTCAGTGGTTGAGCAGCTGCCTTCAGATTGGGTCATGGTCCCAGGGTCCTGGGATAGAGTCCCACATGGGGAATCCTTGCTCAGTGGGGAGTCTGCTTCTCCCTCTTCCTCTGCCCCACCTCTGCTTGTGCTCTCTCTCTCTCAAATAAAATCTTAAAAGAATACTATTAATCATTTGCCTTCCATGATATGAAGCAAGCCCTGAATTGTTTTTGTCCTTTTAAGTAAAATGGGCAAAAACCATCAACTGGGTAGTGCATCTTTACAGGAAACCTCAAGAAAAGGAGGGCAGGAATGCTAATCCCCATAGAAGAAGGAAACTGAAGACCCATGTGGTTGTGGTTTGTCCAAGGTTGCAGTACATGGAATTGTTCCTGGAACTCAGGGCTTTTGACTCTTGGTTTTCCACAGTACCAGGGGCTTTGCCACCTTGCCCGCCTTCCTCCTCACCCCTCCCCACCTTATAAGTGCTGTAGTGAAGATGTGAATCCATCATTTGCTAGCTGTGCCATACTGCCTGTTTCCCAGACAATCACTGATAATCTCTCTTTCCCTAACCAATCTTATTTTAGCCTCTGCCAATCCTGCTGATTATGGTGTTTACACTTTTCAAATATCTGTGAATCAGTATCACTTGTCCTGTTAAATGCTACTTAATGAGTCTGCTGATATTTGTCTACATTTAATCTTCCCCATTAGTCAGTGTTTCTGGGCCCCGATCATTTAACGTGCTGGATTTCTTCCAGTTTACATTCCTCTTTTTTTCTACTGGATTATCAAAGTGCCTTGGTTTAGGGATAGGCACCTTGACTCCTGCATGATCTCTGGGCTGCCCAGATAGAGCAATCCTGGCCTGTTGTGTTTCATCATCTTAGAAAAGACACTCACAGCTAAAGTCCCTGTCACCATCCTCATCTCTTCCAACATTATTTTGTTCTGTTTTACCCTCTTCCAGGGCTGCCTCATCCAACTATACAATACAGTATTATAAACTATGGTCACCATGATGTAAGTTAGATCTCCAGAATTTATTCACATTATAATTTTACCTTTCACTTTTTAAAAAAAATTTATTTATTTATTTTTAGAGAGAGAGAGAGAGCACAAGCATGAGTGAACGGAGTGGGGAGGGGCAGAAGGAGAGGGAGAGAGAGAATCTTGAGCAGACTCCCCACTGAGTGTGGAGCCTGACTTGGGGCTCCATCTCACCACCCTGAGATTATGACCTGAGCCAAAACCAAGAGTTGGTGGCTTAACTGATAGAGTCACTCAGTTACCCTTACCTTTTACCTATTGATCAACATCTCTCCGTTTCCTCCACCCCCAGCCCCTGACGATGAATATGTATTTCAAAATATCACATTGTATCCCTTAAAAACAAATAATTTTTATCAATATACATTAATAAAGCTGGAAAAATTGTAATATGGTAACACAGAGTAAAAAAAAATGTAGGGGCTATGAATGAGGTATGGAGGAAGTTCTCTAGATGTTTACAGAAGAGAGATTATTTTTGTTTGGGAAGGGGAGGAGGCCATAGGAGAGGAGGAAGTTTCTGTGGAGGAGTTTCAGGTAAAGTTTTATGGGGGAAGGTCACATTTGAGGGACCTTGAGGGATGGCTCTGCAGGGTCTGGGCTTGTGGAGAGGAGGGGATGAACATTCTAGAGAAGAGAAGTCCTGGTTTAGAAACACCTCTCCTTGTCTTTTATCCATCACCAACATCTTTCCTGAATTATCCAGTTCCCCACTCTAGTCTCTACTCTCACATTCTTCTTCTAAGCTCTTAATTTCCGAGACCAGCTTGGAAATGTTGTGTATGGGCCCCAAATCCACTTTTTGTGTCCCTCCGATACCACGTGGGGCTTATCCATGTGCTTTGACTTCAGAGTGACTTTCAGAATGGCCTTTCCCTGGCAAACTTCCATAGCCTGAGTCCTTGGGACATGTTTGTTGAGCCCCTAGCTACCTTCTTTGCTCCTTGGGTCTGTTAGCCCCTTTGTTATTAGAGAAACCACTATGGAAACCCTAAGAGTATGTCCTCTGGGAGGGAGGATCCTTCCAGGAATCCAGAAATATCTGAGCATGATCTCGCTGACACTGCCTGGCACATAGGGGTGCTTACCAATCTATTTTGGTTGTTGGATGTATGAATGACCCTGCTTCTAAAGGACTGAGTCCAGTCCATCTTTGGAGTCTGAGCATTCAGCAACATGCAATCTGTAGTAGACATGTTTGCTGAATAGATGGCGAGTTTTCAGTGTTTGAAATGTCACCATCTGAGGTTAATTCCTTTGGACCAGTGATGCTCTTCGGCCTCAGGGGTCATGTGTGAAAATGCAAACACCTTTAAAAAGGCTAAGTTATTATCAACCATTAACATTTTCAGGAAGATTAGCAAGTGACCAGCTAAGGGAATGCCACAGACATAGATAGTGGGAGGGCTGTACTGGCTAATGGAATTCAAGTAAATAAATTAAAACAAAGAAAGAGGGAGGAGGAAGGAGCCCACGGACAGAGACACCGTCCCAGTTTTGAGCTGGAAGACTGGGCCTGGGCCTGAGCTGCACCAGGAATAAGCTGACGGTTGAGAAGGACCATTCCAAGGGTGCTGGTGGTCATTTATTGAAGATGCATGACATTCTTCTCCTCATAAACCTTCAGTGGCTTCCACACTGCCTATGGAATAAAGGCTATATTTTTTAGCCTGGCATTTGAGGGTCTGTGATCTGCTCTCACTTCTCACCCCTCTCCTCATTCATATGCCTCAGCCAGGTTCACCAGGTAACACTGTTTACTCTTCCCTTCCTCCCCACACTGCTGCTGTTGTATCTCTGGGTTATTGCTCATCCTGTTCCCACCATCTAAAATGTTCTTTCCTTCTTTTCTCTAATAAATCCCATTCTATCTTCAAGACTTGTTGAAGTGCTGTTCCTTCTGTGAAGGTTTCCTGACACCCCAGTCAGAAGGAATCCCCTCCTTCTTCTGCATTTATAATAATCGTCATTCTACAGTACTCACAATATGTTGTAAAGTAATGTTTCCAGCAAGCTCCTACTGACATCATGGAGAGGAAAGTTTTGAATTGAGTTTGAATGTTCCATCTTTAGTGTATTTAGTACAAGCACCAAGCATTCCTATAGCATTTTTCTTTTTCTTTTTGTTTTGATAACATTATAGATATATAGTTCACATACTGTATAGTGCTTTTAAAAAGAATGATATTTCATTAGGCACCTTGAGTATGCTTGTAAAAAATGCACAAAAAGTTACATTTCCCCTTTTTTAACAAATAGGTCTGGGTTGGGTGATTTGCTTGGAGCTGTACTGTGAACTCATTTCAGAGCTAGCACAAGGGCAAGCTGTTAAACCTTTTGAGCTCCAGTCTTCTTGTCTGTCAAATCTAGATCACTGCTTCCTTCATCTAAGTATAGAAGAGCTCCAAGGGAGTAAGGAATGTGGAAGTATTTCAGTACATGAAGTGGATAAAAGAAAGTGCAAGTATATGTGGATGGAGAGGTGTGTCATTTTGGCTGGCAAAGTCGCTCTGTTCTAGTTTACTATTAAATTTTTGACCTTTCCTCCTCAGGCTATGTTTTCCACTAATCGTGGGACTGTTGGAGGCTTCTTCCTGGCAGGACGAAGTATGGTATGGTGGCCGGTAAGTTTTCTCTGAAAAACCACCTGCTTAACTACAATATTCTTCATAGGAAGCCCTTTTCTTCTTGGTTTTGGGAGGCACTGATTCTTCCTTCCTGCCTTAAGTCTCTGAAAATGGGTCTTCTGATCACCAGGTCTCCTGGGTACTCTTAATCTCTTATGGTAAAGGTAAATACAAAATGCTTGGAATCTTTCACGGTTTACATAGAGGAAGAGACTGCACAAGGTGGGCAGTGTGGAGAAGCAAAAAGAGCACACAGACTGAGATGATCTTGGGTACATCTGAGCCACCTTTGTATGTATAAAAACAGGATGGTAATAGTTGCCTTCTAGGAGTGTTATGAGAAATGGATACTTTTTGTGGGGTGGAAACTCAGTAAATAGCTCTTTCACTACAGTAACCTTTTTGTTACTTTATGTCTCATGATAGAGACACTTTATTTGTCCCAATTTGGGAGCCTAATGCAATGCCTGATACACAAGGGAACCTCAAGAAGCACTCATAGAACAGATGGAGGAGGAGCCCCCTACTGTTCTTACAGTTTTCTTCATCTCTTTGAGGATTTTGTGTTTTGTATATTTGAGAGGTATTTTTCTTGATACTTGTACATGGGCAGAACTATCTCAGTCAAAGGACATGTACATGCATGGAAGAGAAACTGGGAAGCCCCTTTCATCCTATCAGCACAGAGCTCTGGCTGGCTTATCAGTTCAGTCCAATGACTATCTCAACTCAGAGTTCTCACCAAAATGACTGGTTGACCCGATTGGCCAAGTTATGCAGTTTCTTGGACATAAGATACAAGCAAAACTAGCTGGTGAAAGAGGTGGGTAATGAAGCATAGAAACAATTAGAAGAAAGTGAGTGTGAGTTGGCTGGAGGAAGAGAAGAAATTAAAAATTGTCACAGTCATATGCAGAGCATGAGAAGAGTTGCACGGAAATCACACCACACCCTGCATTTGGCCTTTGATCGGCTGTTTTGGGATGGACTTTAATAACTGAAATCTTCACAGTTGCTTGGATTATCCCTGAAGTCATTTCTGTCTTCTCCCTAAGGTGGCCAAGAATACTGGGCAGATGCTGATTTATATCCTGGGTCCCTCATGGCACTCTCTCCTGACATATTTTATCTCCTCAAGCTTTGTACTTTGGTGCTTTCCTAAAAGTTGGTGTTGAATAGGCAGCTCTGATCACAAAGTTCAAGACAAGTCTAGGGTAGTCCCTCTAGAACTGCGCTGTCCAGTATGGTAGCCACTAATCTCATGGGCTACTTAAGTTGAAATTAAAATTAAATAAAACTAAAAATTTCTTTACTCAGTCATACTCGCCATATTCCAAGTGCTTAATAGCTACATGTGTAAACCTGGCGATTCACAGACCTATACCCCTGGGGCTAATAATACATTATATGTTAATAAAAAAATAAAAAATTAAAAAATCTTAAGTTTAATAGAGAAAAAAATAGCTACATGTGGGTAGTGTCTGCCATATTAGACAGTACAGATCTAGAATGTTTCTATCATCATAGAAATTTCTATTGGACAGGGTGTTGTACAGATTTCAGGGCCAAGGCTGGATGAAATCTTAGTGGACTTGAGATTTGCTGAATTAGCCGGATAGGAAGTTCACTTTTAGTTATTTTGAAAGCAGTGCACCCCCACCCCTTCTAATGCATCAGTAAACCTGCCAAGTACTCAGCTGCCCTCAGTTTGCATCCAGAATTCCTTAATCTCCCCTCCCCACACTGTGACAAGAAACTCTCATATCTCTTTATATAAAATTTCTAGGGCTGATTTATTGGGGGTAAGACATCAACTTCTAATCTCTGGGTCATGGAGAAGCCAATGAGAGTGTGTGTGTGGGGCTAACAATGGGACAGAACCATCCTTAGGAAATTTGCATTTTGGGCTTAGTCTGGCAACACGTCACATCTTAACTAGCAATGATGTTTTTCTTCCTGATAGCACCTGGGAGTGGGTCTGGGCTCAGATTTGGTTGGTGAGAGGAATTAGCCCTTCCCAAAGCATGTAGGGTCAATGATTCATGTGGGCTTTCCCGTAGGTGTTGCTTTCCTTACTCATGTTTCATTGTTAGATTATTCTAACTAACAGAGAAACATGGCATCATTATTCTTTTGTACAGAAGTCACTACTTCCTTGATGGGGCTGAAATTCAACTTCTTCTTCCAATAATGGTTTCCATCTAAGGCTTTGAGAGATTACATAAGTGGTTTGCAAACTTGCCCATGTATCAGAATTATCTGGGTTTGCTTACCAAAGGTACAGATTTCTAGGCCTTACTCCAGACCTATTAAAAAAAAACAAAACCCAAACCAAAAAACCAACCAAGCAAGCAAAAAAACCTTGGAAGAGAGGCCTAAGAATTTGAATTTAAAAAAAGCTTCCAGATGCTTTTTATTATCAGGCAGGTTTGATAATTACTGGTTTGGGTAGACTCTTATCTATCTGGTCAGATATACTGAAAACATCATCTGCTAGGGATGCTGGAGAGAGGAATTCTTGAATGGAGGATCAATGACTTCTAAGTCCTTCTCAATTTTGAGAATGATTTAATTCTAAAAAATTAAATCATTCAAAATTAGAACATGTATGGCCTTTGAAGTCATCATATCTGATCTGCCACATTTACTAATTGTATGCTTTGGCTAAGTCACTGACCTTCCCTGAGCTTCAATTTCTACCTCTAAAATGTAGGAGAATAGTGCCTACCAAATTTGGAGTGTTTTCGTCAGGATTAAATGAGATAATCCATGTAATCCATTCTGCATTTGGCAAGTACTCAGTAAATGAGACTATTAAGAAATGGAAGGAAGGTTAGGAGTGTTAGGGCAACCTTCCCCTTGGCATTTGTTTGGGGGCATAGCACTTAGTAATGCCCAATAAATGAAAACTATCATTTATGTGAAGCTAGTGCTGCTGCTTCAATTAAATTTAACTTTCAGATTGACCATGTCAGTAAATGAGCATGATTTATATTTATATTTATTTATACTACTATAATCATCAATCCCAGCTACACACTGACCACATTTTTGACATCTTTGAGATTGGCTTGTTGTGTTATAATCCATCAGTGGCATGCCATTGCTTGGCAATGCTTTTTCTTTCTTGGTGCTACGTGGTATGTCTTACAGTAGTTGGTGTCTTAGATTCAATTAAGTATGGTTATATTCTAAAATAGTGTGTTTGCAAATATGTTCACTGCAGAAATATCTCAAAGGCTGCCCTCTTCCTCTTTCCCAGCAAACTGACTTTTATTTATTTTATATAAGGAGAATCTGCAAAGATTTTGTTTGAGAACAAAGTTCTGCTAATTTATAAAATTTAAAAACTGTTAATTTATAAGAAAAATAAACATGATAATTTTTATTCTAAAATTTTAAATGGTTTAAATTATATTGCAATACATGCTTGAAAGGAGGAGTTAAAAGAGAAGATGTGAATCTAAGGACTTTCCCTCTAAAATTGAAAAAGAATTGAAACTATATTAAACCTATACATCTATATTTCTCTTCATGTTAAAATACAAAGTCAATTCAATCCTGTCAGGCTTGGAAGTTAATACCTGTAATATAAATTCTCAAAAGTGCAAGCCCAAGGAGAACATTACAGAGATAACAGGCTTCCAGGAGCTCACATCTCTGTCAGAAACCTACTGGGACACTTTGTCCCCTCCATCTGCCTTTAGCCATGTTGCTTTGTGTTGTAGCAGGAGTGAACAACCAGAGAAGTTTTGGGAAAAGAGTTCTTAGGTGATTTGAGAAAGGGAGGACCTGGGATTAATGCACCAGAGGTCAGGAGGACTTGGGTACTCACCCACAAAAAAAGTAGGAGGAAATCGTACCTTGCAAAGTCTGAAAAGAGGTTGAAGAAAGAGGTCTACTGGGGACATTCTTAGGGGCTTAGGAGGCTGAAGGAGAAGTTATGACCTGTAACCAGTGAATATTTAGGAGCTCTGGAAAAAGACCCTATTCCTAAAAAGTTAATAAGCCTGAGAGAGAGAAATCATTTGTGCCTTGCCTTAAGAAAAGAAGGGCTATCCGTACCCCAATGTTTATAGCAGCAATGGCCACGGTCGCCAAACTGTGGAAAGAACCACGATGCCCTTCAACAGACGAATGGATAAGGATGATATGGTCCATATACACTATGGAATATTATGCCTCCGTCAGAAAGGATGAATACCCAACTTTTGTATCAACATGGACGGGCCTGAAAGAGATTATGCTGAGTGAAATAAGTCAAGCAGAGAGAGTCAATTATCATATGGTTTCACTTATTTGTGGAGCATAACAAATAACATGGAGGACATGGGGAGATGGAGAGGAGAAAGGAGTTGAGGGAAATTGGAAGGGGAGGTGAACCATGAGAGACTATGGACTCTGAAAAACAACCTGAGTGTTTTGAAGGGGCGGGGGGGTGGGAGGTTGGGGGAGCCAGGTGGTGGGTATGAAGGAGGGCACTTATTGCATGGAGCACTGGGTGTGGTGCAAAAACAATGAATTCTGTTAACGCTGAAAAGAAAAAAAAAAAGAATAGAAGTGAGGGGCAATTGAAGAGGAAGAGCAAGCACTCCAAGGCTGGGTTACAAGAGGAGACAGCTTACACAGTGGGCCAGGCAGGGAGGCCTCCAGAAGCCTGAGTCACACTTGAGCAAGCCAAGCCAACTGAGTAATATGAAACCATGAAGCTATACCTTTTGTAACTTTAGGCTGGTTGATGGCTCAGGATTCCCTTCTGTGGTTGGCAGCTTTTAACAAACAGTTGCCTGTATGCTATGTTGTAATGATTATTTGGGGATGTGGGAAATGGGGAAGCAGGAATGTGAGCATTGAAGGGGAAATTCCCTACTCCTTGTCTAGTGGTAGCAGAAATTAATCAGAGAGGCTGGGCCTCAGATACACCGCCCAGTGGAGAATCCTTATTTTGGAGGAGGATTTGATTATACTCACCTGAGTCAGCTCCAAGGGAGAAGTGG